CCCCAAAACCCCAAAACCCCAAAACCCCAAAACCCCTGAAGTCAATATCTTATTCATGCAATTTAAGTAATTCGTATTAATCAAATATTTAAAATAAATTCATTATTGGATTAGTTGATATCTTGAAATAGTTCATTAGAATTGAGTATGATGACGTTTCAGCCATTTGATAAATTTACAAAATTAACTTGATTCAAACGTTATTACTAATAGTAGCAGGCTAATATCCTGCTTTGCTTTAAATTAGATGTTAAGAGTAGGGATTACCACTAAATTAACTTGGTCCCTCTAAGTATAATAATTGCAAGGAGCTTTTAAGAGACTTATGTCCCTTAAAGGATAACCCGATGCGAGTAACTTTCTCATCTATCAATGGAAAAGGTTCATCTCCTCCACTACACTAGCATCCTCCAATGAGAATGAATAAAACTAGTTCATCAGCTGAACCTTCCCATCCAATTTCTGTATATTCATAAACAGGTTCTTCGAGCCTGTTTATTGTTTAATTTAGATTCGTCGTAGCTTCTGTTGTCATGTTCACTATTTCAGTGCTCATTGGCATGAAATTGACTTCAGTTATATTAAGCTGTGATAATAGAAGTCTTTCCTTTTTTTGAGGAGAACCAAATGTTGGAGATAATTCTGAAAATGCAATAGACTTGGAATGGTGTTTAGAGTTAGGGGAAGGTATGATTGATCCGCTTAGAGATGACTCATTATCTTTGACATACATTCTTTAGTACTACTTTTTCAGTGTATAATAAACTGGCATTGACGAATTCTTCATGTCTTCATTTACCTTACGACAAACATTAGTAGCATGCTAACTTATTTCTAAGAGAGGTAGGGGCTTTTACTTCTTCAAAATTTGAATAACAAGATCGATGTTAGCTCCTGTGTAATGCTTATGTTACCGCACATTTTTTATGAATGGAATTGCCCACTAAGGATCCTAACGAATGAGATTCATTGTTTTAAAGAGAAGTAGCTCAAAATCATTTTCAAAGACTCCCTCAGCAGGCTCTTGAAACTTGAGAGTATTCCATCTCTAGAGTACATTCATTGATTTTTTATCATCTTTTGTATTCTAGCATCCCATTTTAATATCAAATAATATTAATATTTTAAAAGAAATATATATGTAATGGCAAATCTATCCTTACTCCTGTTATTGCTTTAAATATGCCTTCTTTTGGGGTTTTGGGGTTTTGGGGGGATCGGAA